GGTAGTTAGTCAAAATAATGTGTATGGTTATTCACAATTTTAAGGAACATGTGGGTATGTCTTGGTGTAAAGTGAAACATAAAATGAGAGAAATTATTCTGACTGTAAATTTTTTAGAATGCATAATTTATCTAAATTATGATCCAAAAAAAATGCAATAATTAAATATTAATCAAGTTCATTACTAACATCACGGTTTTTGGAATCCGTTTTTATTCAAATAGATAAAAAATTACATAGTGAAGTTGTAAATTTGTGAAAGAAACGTTCCTAAAATTATCTCATCTTTAGTAGATGCCGAATTATGGTAGCCTGTAACTTTTTATCTATATTACAATTGATTGTGTTTATTTTAAAGATTTTTTTAAAACTAATTATACAATCATAAATTTAAAATTTAAAGACTCCTGAGTATTTTCTAAGTGAAAATTTCCGATATGCATATTTCAGGACTCCGTGCTCTGAAAAAAGTTGGATTTTTTCCAAAAATCTAGATAATATTTAAAAGAAAAAAAGAAAAAAAAAAAGAAAAACAGATATATCAGATGAATCCGAAAATTACTACTTTGGGTAGAAGTTTGGTTTATGGATTCTAACAATTGTAAAATTAGGCATTTATCTATTCAGGTGTAGATAAATAGTTCGTGATGAAGAAGTTATCACACATAACTTCATGTAAAAGCCATTCCAAAAAGAATCTGCTACTTGTTACTGTATTTAGTATCATGTTCCTTGAAATGATACCAAAGTATAATTGATTATATAAAATGATCAGTGTACCTTAATCTTAAAACTACGAAATTATTTTGAAGTCTTATATTTCATGATTCATGTCTTGAATGTTATGTCAGTGTACACACCGGTGTGTGTGTATATATATATATATATATATATATATGTATAAGAGAATCTTAAGAAGAAATAACAATTCAATAAGAAGAAATGCAAATATTTGGCAACAAAACAACCAGCATGATTTGTTTAAATGGTATGCTGTTTTAAAAATGAGCAATGTATAAAAAGAATTTGCAAGAAAGAACAAGTAATAGAACAGAAAAATGACTTCTCATAGTTGGATAATTAACTGACAATGTTTTACATACAAAAAAATTCAGACAATCGTAAAGAAATATTTTCAAACTTCTCTTCACTTGTTCATCCAGAATTGACAGCATCAAGAGTTGGTGTAATAATAGAATCCACAGAACAAGTAAATAATGAACTATTATTTTTGGAAATTTCTAACTTCCCATAAAAGCCAGGGTGACAAAAAAATGCCCCTCCCCTCCCCCCAACAGGAAAATGACAAACCAAAGAGCCTCATAAGCAAACAAGGGCGGGCAGTCATATGAGCACCCACACAAGACAAAACACGCAACGGGCAGACCGAAAATGGGCAGATCTGGCGAATTTAACCATCTAAATGGTCTAAAAACACTTCCCATGTTTCTCCCACTCCAAGATCCCTTTCCATTATTGGTAAGAGGCGCTTGCCTACGTGGCAAATATAATCAGACGGGGGTGTGCAAAGGTGGCACAGAAATGGGGAGAGCTGGCAGAAAATGAGGGGAAGTGGCAGAAAACATTTCCTTAGCTGGCAGACAGCCTTGAATCCTGCCAGGCTCCCAGTCTCCCTCACCCCTGAATTCCGCCCAGCTGGCATGACGCCCTCTCCATCCCTGGAGATGCTTTTCCCAGTCAATGACTTCTTTCCCCCTCTTCCTCTCCCCTTTTTCTCGTGGTGACGTGCTTGCGTTGCTCGACATTGGATGAAGCGCGCGTACATCCACTTCGACGAATGTCGTTCAAGTTAAGCAAGCAATTAAGCAAGCAAGACATTGGATAAACTGGTACTGTGCGGGGGCTTGAGCTGAGAGTGGGGATTAGGGTTTCGGGGTTTTCAAGTGTGGCTTCTGCCCATAGGGGCCAAGCAGCAAGGGGTGGGGAGGAGGTGCACAGGTGGGGCGAAGGGCGAAGGGGGAGGGGGGTGTGAGAGAGCTATAGGTCGCCTACAGCCATGAGGTCTCCACATGCCTCGCCCTTCTTTAGGGGCCGATTCTCATGGGGCCCGGTCCCATTTGTCAGGGTCAAGCACGCCCATGCTATGCTTGAACTGGCACGGGTGGGTATGTGGACGGGTCCTAGATTCTGTTGTTGTTCCGGCACTCCATCGCCTCCCTTGCACACCCCCCCCCCCCGTATCTTTTCCTGGCTCCCCATTCTGGAGTCTTTTTTCCTTTTTTCTTTTTCCCTATTTTCCTTTTTATTCGTTTGCTTTTTTGTTTCCTTTATTTTCTCTGAAAAAAATTGTGTCTTACTAGGTTTAAATGCTTTCATCACGTTTTGTAGGATTTCACTTTTAGAAAATGGTTTGTACTGATTTACCACGGGGTCTCGGGAGCATTTGAACTCTTACGGAATGGTAAATTCTTCTTAAAAGTCATACTAATTTTCACATAACTTTCTATGGGTATGAACACTTTCTGGTGCATATGTTCTTAAAAGTGTTCTTTACAAGTCTGTTCCTTGGTATTAGAAACATTCTTACCCTGCATGAGTGCATATTTATGTTGAGTTGTAAGAAAAAAATTAATTAGAAAAAAATAATTTTACATGTTGTCTTCTAACTATTCCCTGAGTTCACGTGTAAAATTTTAAAAATTAAAAATGCTAGAATGTTTTTTATAATTATTATAATCTATTTATTTATTCATTATAATGTTATCAACTTCGTATTACTCTCCCAAGCCTACGTTGATTGGTATGATTATATTTTATGAGACCAAATGTTGGGACTTTATAGAGAAGGTGAATGTTGGGCAGGTTTTAATTTCAAAAAAAATTATTGTTAAAATCCACTTTTCCTCATGATGCCAAAAATGATAACATAGTGTGGTATTCATCTCTCATGTTGAACAACACAAAGTCTTTGTAACTCATAGAAATTTGTCTGAACGTGCAAATTGAGCTTGATTTGTAAGAAATATATTTCGTTTGGTCCTCAATTTTGTTCAACTCTTTTTTCAATATTTAAATACACCTCACTGTTTTCAATTTGAAAACAAAGATCAATCAATATTGGATTGTAGAAATATTGACAATTAGAAGAAGAAGAAGAAAAATACCCTCATTCTTATTGATAAGACATGATAGAGAAATCTCTCATGCTGTGAGGAACAATGTTAAATCCTAGAGCATAATTTTAATTATATAAATAACAGAATTTACGGACTTGATACTTACAAAATACATCTTGATAGTATGTTTATACTGAATAGATACTTTAATAGATACAGGAAAAATCCCAAGATATGATTAAAAGAATCAGGTTACAACCATACAAATAAAAGCATTTTTTATTAAATAGATTTTGCTATAGTTATTTGATTAGATAGATGTAATTTTAATAATTTTTATCAAAAAAAACATTACTAAGCATAAATAAAATAATAAATACTTCAATATATTATAAATTTTAATTTAATCATTTTTTTTGAATTAAAATACGTCTTCTAGTGAAGAATTTGCATTTGCATTTGTATTTTAAATTCCGAGAATGTAGGAACCTATTTATATTACTGATCATATAATTGTCTAATCATATTAGAGAATTGTTTCAAATTTAATATATATATATATATATATATATTCTTTTAAAAGATACATTCAAGTTTATTTTTTTCCTCATTGGAACTATTCTAAATCTTTGCAAAATCTTATTTGAAAGCCTTGATAAAATTATCATATGAAGCTTTCGCCAGAAACTTTGAATGATAAATGTCTTGTTCAAGAGTTGCAAGTATACATAGAGATAATATCCATATTATATTTTGCATCATTTATCTTGTAATACATTTTGAAATCACTTTGTTATAAAAATTTACAAGTAGGCAATGTAAATTTGGTTAGAAAGCTACAATACAATCTAATTTCTTTTTGTCCCCCCCCCCCCCCCCCCCCCAGAGACTTGTCCATTGCCACGAAAGTTGGTAATTGAAAAGACCTCATTCATATGTAAATATATGTGTGTGAATTCAGATGTATACGTATATATGTGTGGGTGTAAAATTCAGAGTCAGGTGGACGAAAAATTTGGCAACTTTAAAATAATATAGAATTCGTTTACCTAGGCAGGTGAGTGTGACGAGGCAGATAATGTTTTCTAAAATTGCACGTTCCTGTTTGCAACCATGCTATTAGTTATTTCTTTTGAGACATTAAAAATCCAAAACTTAATGTCTGATGATTGTAGTCACTGATAATCGTAAAGAAGAGAATGACCCAATTTGGAAAATAATAATATTCCAAGGATCAAAATCATAACATCTTCTTCTCAAGTCTGCCCGATTTCGTCAGTAAATCACTTCATAATGTTAGAATCATTCAACATGCTTTTACGTTGAAAGTTTTAATTTTCAACAAAGTTGTGTGTAATAATGAGAAGTGCAAATTTTGGGCGTAAGTAGAGATGAAGAGCTTGCGATGGATGATATTCATCCAGGAACAAACGGAATACATTCATCTATTTATGGGATTGCACAGGCAAATCCCCTCCGCTGAACCGTCTGAAATCATCTGCAGAAGGGCAAGCCACTTGGCTGACTCAGAGTTTTTGGAATCTCTCCCTAGTGATGCTTTTCCGCGGTGGGAATAGGGCTCCCATTTCGGGTGGCTTTAGGGGGGCTGACTTGGATGTGGGAGGATTTTACCCGAAGGTGGCTTGAAGAGAACAAAAACATGGAATCCCGAAAGGCACTGTTCCCAACTGGTGCTTGCTTACTTCTGCCTTTATGCATGACTGTTCTCACTCAATTCCTCTTTTCAAATATGAACACACTGACAATTCGCAAAAAGGAGAGAGTGAACGAATGTCTATTATAAGGGACTTGAAGAGTAAATACCAAACTGCCAGGAATCAGTGCGGCAGGAAGGGAGGAACTCAGTACCTACGCGACGACCTACGTGGTCGGGTGGGTAGGTATCAGGATAGGAGAGGGGACCCAAATATGGCGGAGAATCACAGGCAATAAGGCGCCACCGTTCGTTTCGTTTCTTTCTTCTGCATTTCCTTCCTCTTCTTCCTCCTCGCTTGCCTGAATTTTAGAAGTGTAATTCGGTGGCTGATCAGTGCCGTGCCTGTTTAGGCGGCATTAGCATTGGTAGCGAAGTAGAAGGAATTTTGGTTTGTTTCATTGTGGCGAGTCTGGTGAGGAATCAAGGTGTAGGGAAGTGAAGGGAAGGGGAGAGAGCGAGAGAGCGAGAGAGAGAGAGAGAGAGAGAGAGAGAGACGGGGTGGAGAAGTGCAGGTTGCGTCTGGGAAGATTGATCATGGTGTCAATGCAGCTTATCTGTGGACGCTGAAAGGTTTGTGTTCAACATTCTCGTGTTTGAGGCCGATGATACGACTTTGCGATTAGTATTATTTTTATTTCCTGATCTGGCGGCGTTGCGGATTCGACAATTGTCTTTAGAGAGAGGCAGTGAGGTCTAGTTTCCAGGGTGCATGGAGGGAACTAATGGAAATGCCGAAAATGAGCGACCAGGGATGATTTCAGATACATGTTGTATTCGATTTTTGTTCTATTTAATGCGGTGGATTTGAGAGTTAGTTCTCGTTGGTAGTCATGCAACTGAGCATTCAAGGGCTTGACAGTCCTCCAGTTTACTCTTCTTCGTTTGGAACATCGTAGAAGTGAATCGATTTCAAATACTCTACGATGGCGTACTCAGCTTTTTGTGGAAGTCACCTTAAAATCTCTCTTACAGCGGGATGATGAGCTACACCGAGTGCACGAGGATTTAACGTTCAAGTCGGACTTTTAGTTTTTAGTGCTCATCCGGATGTGGTGACTTGCAACTGCTGTCGTGTTCTCGAGTAGTGTCTACATATTTCATCTGCCTTAATGTTCTTTGTTGTGCACCGTCGGAACATAAATCCAGCGATCTGTTGTGATGTTTCAACGGCAGCGATTGAGATTTAATCGACGCTCGTGTCAGCAGCTTCACAAGATGAATTAGGCGTGGAGTCTTTTTGAAGCATTTCTTCAATGTTGATTATGAATCGGTGTTGGCCTGATGCATACTTATATTGGAAGTTTATGTTTTGAAGGCAGTTTCGAGTGGGACAATTCTTTCGTAACGGTTGAATGAATATTTTGGCACAAGTAAAACTAGTCATCAAGTCGTACTTCATTTCTTACAGTTTGTCGGGCTTTTACCTTGTTCGCATATGTTTTCTAATTCTAGCGTTTAGCGTAGGCAGTCCACCACCCGGTAACTGAAGTAGTTTAAAGGATCAGGCGCTTAACAATGAGTGTAAGCCCATTTCAGCAGTAAATATTTCCCACTTTGCACACAACTATAGGTTCACGCGCTAAAGAGGGTTTTAAAATGATCGTTCGGCTTGACTGTGTCTCTTAGCTGAAACGGTAGGTTGCTCGATTGTTGAGTTGATGAGAGAAACGTCACTGACGAGTTGCAACTGCGTTGTTTGTTCCTTCTACATGTGCAAGTTATTACGTTTCCAAAAGCTGAACTTTGACCTCTAGTAGAACGATCGTAACAGTCTGACCCGATGACGTGAGTAGTCGTCCATATCTTTCTGAAATGACGTTTGTGGTACCTGTCGCTGTTGATTGTGGAGGAATAATACCGGTTTTAGAAGTAACGAGCTTGTTAGGACACGGTTTCGCTAACTGTTTTGACCAGCTTCCCTTTAAGATGCGCGAACGTATAGAGTGTATCTGAACCTTTGCAAGGTCATAGTCGTGCGACGGCAACTTGCAACATTACTTACAACACCAGTTAAAAGTTGAGGAAGTGAAATCGCTTTGAGCACAAATGTGCAGTGTTCTCGTGAGGTGTAAATCATCTGTTGAACAAACTTTGCACAATTGAGGAACTAAACACTAATGATAAACGATGCAGGTTATTAAATTCGCGGTGGAGTTTAGAAGAACATGCCACCGTCCAAGACGGAGGTGGCGATGGGTGCAAACTCTGGTGAAATAGGGTCCAAGTTCGTTGTGGATGATAGTTTGTTGTCAGATTTGATGGACCTGGATCCTTTAAGTGAGCAATTAGGAGAGGAGTCATGGATGAATGGCGGCAGCGGCAGCGATAATTGCGATTTTAATTTAACATCTTACTCCGTGTCAAGTAGCGAGAATTGCTATGCTTCCATATCACCCTCCTCACCCCCAACCTCGCACTCATCATCGATTTTCTCTCAGACCAGTGAAGCTGATTTAGACGCCTTGCAACTCCTCCAACAAGTCTTTGATGGCTCTCCGTCTCCTTTTTCGCCTCCGTTGAGTCCAAGTCCTGTAGGTGATGGCAACATCACCATGCTTTTAGCGGATCAAAACATTATAACCACATCAAACGCGATGGAGTATACAGATCCATCCGAAAAATGTCGGATTGACACGCCCTTTCTGGCAATGCCAAATGAAGAAGAGGAGGATGAAGCCGAAGAAAAATCCGGGCTTTCGGAGGAGGAGAAGGTAGTTGAGGAAGGGGGAACAAGAAAGAGAACGTTGGCACGTGCACTCTCAAGCTCGCCGGTGTGTCTCCGCGATCGTCTGCTGCAGGCTGTGCGCTACATCGGCCGCTTCCGGATGGACGTGCTGGTACAAATTTGGATGCCACAGCAAACGAGCAGCAACCCTCAGAAGCGGATTCTTACCACGCGAGATCAGCCATTTATTTTGGAGCAGAGAAATGACAAGCTATTGCATTTTCGGAATGCCTCCGAGAGTTATGAATTTGCAGCCGAGGCTGGGAATAGCGGCTTGGGCCTCCCCGGTCGTGTGTTTGTGCATCAGATGCCGGAGTGGAGTCCCAACGTCCAGATTTACAACTGCCAGGAGTACCTACGACATCTAGAAGCACAGCGCTGTGACGTGCGTGGATCACTTGCACTCCCTGTCTTCGAGCCCACCACTCTTCAGTGTGTTGCAGTTATTGAGCTGGTTGGTTGCACCGAGAAGATTCAATTTTTCTCCGACGTGGATATAATCTCACGTGCCGTGCAGGTTGTCGCATGTCCAGCTCCTTTCCCTTGCAGATGTCATCCTTTATAGTGTAAATATCTCCGACTTCTGTTTATGTATTCGACATTGTTTATGGATAAAACGGCTACCTCATGAGAAGATTGTGATAATTGGGTTCCTCTTGACGGGTTTCAGTGCAGCTGACCCTTTTCTTCCCCTCTTCTTTTCCTGTAGGCTGTGCATTTATCATCCGTAAACAGTTTGGAGACGCCTGTTCCTGAGGTATCGTTTTGGTGAACTCTGATATAAGTAACGTCCGTGCTGCGTTGTTTTTTTGTTTATTTATTTCTTGTTACTGTTTTTTTTATAAAAATTATTTGCGTGTGAAGATGATATGCCGCTGAATAAATTGACTTACACTTCTGAACTTTCACTTGATTTCCCTTAAAAGCTTAAGCAATCTTATCTTCATCAGAACTCACGTTGGCATAATTCATGATGCTGCAGAGGCTGTCACTGGGTCGACACTCGGTCCTGAACGAGATTGCGGAAGTCTTAACAGCCGTGTGCGAGACTCATAAACTACCACTCGCTCAGACTTGGGTCCCTGCGTGTCGCTATGGCAGCATGGATATCAAGGTTCACCAGAGTGGCAGCAAGAGGATGCGGTCCGAGAATGGAAGCTTTTTGAGTCACAGCGCATCCTCATGTCCTTGTAACAGTGAAATCCTCCGGACTGGTGATGGTCCATGTTATATGAACGATGGCCGGATTTGTGGCTTTCGCCGAGCCTGCCTGGAGCATAGCGTTGAGACAGGTCAGGGAGTGGTTGGCAAGGCTTTCGAAACAAACCAACCGAGCTTCGATTCCGATGTGAAAACCCATTCTAAGGCCGAATATCCTCTTGCACACTATGCTAAATGTTTCGGTCTTGGGGCAGCTGTGGCCATTCGATTGCGGAGCGTTCGCACTGGCAATGACGACTTCATTTTGGAGTTTTTCCTCCCCCCCACGTGCGTGGACAGTAAGGAGCAACAATTGCTGCTGAATTCATTGTCCATCACAATGCAACGAACTTGCCGGAGCCTGAGAACCGTTACAGATAAGGAGCTAGAAGAAGAACGTAGCAGGACCGGGAACGGAAACGTCGTTGTGAAGATTGAAGCTAAAGAAGAACCAAACGATGGAGGGTCTGTCTTATATCCACAGAATCCAATCGGAAATCAAGAGGGGATGTTGTTTACTTCATCAGGTGATCGAGACCAAGATCAAGCAACACACTATCAGATTCCGCAACCCTCTCTTCTCAATCAATTTTCATTCCAGCGCAATTCAAACTGGCAACCATCCGATTCACTTCATCCTGGCGAACCGCAACATCACGCATCATACATCGATCCTTTGGGTAATCACGCTCTTGGTTGCTCAAACACAGCTCAAGATGCTGCATCGCAAAGGCGTAGGCTTGATAGAAGGCGAGGAACAACAGAAAAAACGATCGGCCTCAGCGTCCTTCAACAATACTTTGCGGGTAGCTTGAAAGATGCTGCCAAGAGCATTGGTGGTCAGTTTGCTCAATCCTCTTCAGATCGAATGATCTATACATGTTGAAAGCCAGATCGCTTAATGAGTGTCAGAGTAGATGGGTGTTTTGGAAACTTCTATCTTAAACTGTGATTCTTTAAAAACATATTCTCAAATGTAGCCGTTTTGATATCGCTCTGACACCCACTACTGGTTTTTTTTTTAAAGATCAAGTTGAGCATCTTGTGGTTGCTTTTGAGCCGAGTAGTCCAGTCTACTCTCAATATGTTGGGAATTTTTTCTATTTTTCTGACTCCATGTTTACTGTTGTTGCAATGATTTTTGCAGTATGTCCAACAACGCTCAAGAGAATATGTAGACAACACGGAATCTCAAGGTGGCCTTCTCGAAAAATCAATAAAGTTAGTCGATCGTTGAAAAAATTGCAAGGAGTGATTGATTCTGTGCAAGGAGCAGATGGTGCTCTACGAATAAACGCACTAACAGGAGATATCACCACCGCGTCTATGGCCGTTGATGCAAGCACTGACCATATTGGTAGCGATGGTGCGTGCGCGAAAAGCAAGTGGTGTGTCTCGTGGTCCACTCCAGCCCTTCGCAATCATGAGTTGGAGGAACATAAGGTGCGTGGTGACACTTTGTCGGTGCCAGAAGAGGAAGATCGCAAAAAGCATGATTCTTGTTCGCCTCAATCGGTGCTTATGTCAATCCTTTCCTTTCCAACGGCTAAATCTAGTCGAATTTGTCAAGCAAATAAGAGCAGAGATGGTTCACCTGCGGAGGACGGTAGCCCCATGATTGGACATAACTCTGGTGGTAGAACAACACGCATCTTGTCTCCGAGAAGAAACTTGACAGTTGGCACAGGGGATGCAGCTGTCCATGACGGGATTACAGTTCATCACAATCTCCCAGTGGCTAGGAGTCAACAAGGTTCTCCGATTTCGGGATCATATGATGATATCGTGTCCTCAACTTCCAAGGCTGGTTCTATTAAAAATGAACTGCCTGAAAGTATGACATCATCTGGATGTCAAACGCAAGCTCATAACGATGCCAATGCTCATGAAGCATTTGAGGAGGTTTGTATTAAAAAATTGAATGTTGAGGTACCTGTTTCATCAAGTTCTCATAGAGAAGATGGGGATCAAGAGAGAAAAGTAATGGGTGGGTCGGGTACGTTCAACTCAGACTCCCCACGTTTTGGATCTTCGACCGCTCAAGGAACTAGTGATTGCAGTTCCCCATCGTCTGAAGGCAATCCATCCTTGCATAAGAAGACGTGGCCAACTCATGGCGATGTTGTGACGATTAAGGTCACGCATGATGATGATACTGTGCGTTTTAAACTCGCCTGTGATAAATCTTACCTTGACTTGAGAGATGAGGTAAACCAGAGGCTGAAGTTAACGAAGGTAACGTTTGACCTTAAGTACCTGGATGATGATGAAGAGTGGATGCTTCTTGCTTGCGATGCCGATCTCCAGGAATGCCTAGATGTCATGCGTGCTTCTGGGCGGTCCGCTATCAAACTCATGGTACGCTGCAACGTCTCCTCTAGGGCTGGGACAACCTGCGTAGATGACAAATCTCAGAGTTGATTCCGTTCTGGCTTCACGAAGCAAGTAGTAGCCTCGGCCATTTCAGCTTGTCATTCTACAATGAAGTAACTGACTGTTAAAAAGGCAGGTGAATACCTTGATTAAGCTTCCGAAACGAATGATGCTGAGTACCAGAACAGTCTGAGTTCAAATTTTGCACATGCCGTAAGCCGCAATAAGAAGGTGAAAATCTTCCATTTGGGACGTTTGGTTGATGGGTTAGCCATGCACGGTGCCCAAGAGTTAGCGAGTAACACTTGTATTTTTTCGAATCCTGTTTTTTTCCCAGAAATTGAGGCAGGCCATGCATTTTGTACCGTATTTATACTGAAGTAGCATAGAACGATTAAATTCAGAACATGGCCACTACACCCGTGTCGTCCTTTATTAGTGAAATTCCCTGTACGCCTATTGACAGGTTAACACGTCATTTTTTTCTTCGGTGACATAGAAAATTAAATTCGGTAGTACAGCAAATTGTTGCCAGCTTTTATTTCCATTTAAACACAGTTTTGAGGTTGGCGACACTTGAAACTAGTGCATTGTAGCACGAATAGTGAGTTGGGAGCAATTTTCTGAGTAAATGAAGGCGGAATGGACAAGGTCATTTGGTGTAGTGGCCGAGTCCAGAACTCTATGAAGTACGATTTAGACATGTTTTGAATGTCGAATCTGCATGTACCCATGCTAAACAATGAAGCTGTGGATGAATCTAGTTTAGAGTAGCTGCTCAGTCTCCAAATCCCCCTGTTTTGTAGTGCCTGTCTTCATACAAAATAAAAATAAAATGGCTCCATTTCGTGGATGGTTGTAGCTTACTGATCTTTAAGATACAGGTGAAGTTTTACCTTGGTTCGTTACCAGATTTGAAATTATGATAAGTAAAAAGAAAAAAGAGAAGGGAAGAATAGAAAGAAAAGAAATAATACTTAGCCAGAAAGTATAAGAAATTGTAATAGTAATATCAATTGTTTTTATTCTTAAATATTTAAAAACCTAGATTTTAAGAATTTTCTATCAAAATGGATGTAGAAAAATTTGCAAATATTTTATAGTTGCTTCTTATTAACAATAATGTGTCATGGTGCTAAAGCCATTTCATTCTTGTTCTTTGCTTTCATTTTTATATTAATCCAAACTTTGCATTCTTTATGGCTAGAAAATTCTTGAAATTGTTTTATACATCTTTATATTTTTTTGGATGTTCTTTACTTTTTGTAACTAAAATTATTATTATTATTTTTAATATAATGGTATTCTTCAAATTAAATATTAAATTCAAAATATCTAGGTCTAAAATTAACTCTTTTATTCATCTCTTTTAATGCATATTAGGTTGTATATTCTTCATAGATTTATTTTTGTAAAGATCTTTACTTGATTTGATTAATTAAGAAGTCTTGATATTAAATGTGGAAGATATCTATTCTTAATGGTAATCTTATTGAAACTTCAATCATCTATAAAAATCCATAATGATATGCTTTTTTTCTTTACAAACAAGATATGAGTTCTTGTTGGAGATTTTGAATGGTGTATGAAGTTTTTGGCCAAATTCACATCAATATATTCCTTGAATATAGTCAATTCATTTTTTTTATAAGTTATAGATTGATCCAAATGGTTGATGAGCTTCTCTTTAAAGATCAATTGAACAATCATAAGGACAATGCTCTAAAAGAATATTTGTATTTTTTTTCTAAAATGTCTTGATAATCCTTAAACTAAATAGCATGTCACTTGAAGTCTTTTATTTTATTAGAAATAAGTGTGATATAAATAATAAAAGATGATTATTTTTTTGCAACATACATGAAAGCTCTTACATTTACAACTAAGAGGTTGGGTGTACTAGACCTATGGATTTTCTACTTGGTTATTAAAAGTTATGCTTATATTGTAAAAAAATTGTTATTTCAAAAAAATTATTTAAAGATTATGTTTTTTTAGCCATAATAAATCTAAAATAACTAGATTAAAGAGAGGTTTTTCAACATTTTTCAAAGAAGTGATACAACTACAAAATTAAAAGAATGATTGTCTAAAATAAATAATATTTTTAAAAATATTTTTTTTCTACTACAATAAAAAAATGTGCAAATTAAATCTTATATAATACCTAGTTAAGGTCTTATTCTCTCTTTAGAACCCTCATCTTGTTTTACAATAGAAAAATTTATTAGTGTTAAAAGATCTATTAGTGTTAAAAGTACCTTTTATAAAATTAAATTCTATTTATTTTGTAGAACCATAAATAAGTTAAAACAAGATAGATTAAAAAAATAAAAAAATATAAGCACATGTAGAAGGGAGTTAGGAGTTGATTTTAGTAAAAATTATGTCAAAAAGATAAGAATTAATACCTGAAGAGGACCAATTGCCAATCAAGGTTAAAATTAGACCTTAATGTACAAAATCAAGCACTTGTGGTAATATTTAGTTATTTTCTAAATTAAAGAGTGCAATTTGAAAATAAAATTAAAAATAAAATTTTAAGTATTGATTTTATGTCATTTGGATTAATATTGAAATTTTGAGGAATTTTCAAAGTTAATAATATACTCAATGGATTTAGATTTTGAGAAATAAAAATAGGTTGATAAATTTCAGGATTTTGTGAGCTTCGTAGCATATGTTCAAATGAAAATTGCAAAATTTGTTGTAAATTTGTGAAAAATTTAAAGTCAATTAAGTGGTTAGATTGAAGCATATGAAGGTTTTTGTGGATTACACTCTTGAAATTTTGAGATTTAGGTTTAGTGAGTGATTCTAAAATATAGCATTATTTGCTACTTGGATTGAAGCAAAATTTGGTGAGAGCAATTTGGTGAGACCAATAAGGAGAAATCAATGTTGAAAGATCAACATTCAAGTTGGAGAAGGAGGGTGGCCAATAATTGAGAGGTTTTGGAAGCTTTTTTTGCAATTGATAAGTCCAATTCTTCTCAAAATTTGTATGTTTATTAATTACTTGTTGATTGAAGTCTGAGTAAAATTTTAATTAAGATAAAAAATTCAGTTAGTATTTATTGAGGTTTCAAATAGCTATAGTAATTGATTGAAGTTTACGTGGGATTTTCTTGGAATTGTTTAGGATTTAGGATTTCATTAGGATTCAATCTAGAATTAAGATTTAGGATTTGCTTAGGATTTATTTAAGGTTTGATTAAAAACTATTTAAGATTTAATAGTATTTGATTAAGATTTTATTTAAGATTGGAATTTAAGATTTAAAGTTTTATTAGAATTTGGTTTAAATTTAGGATTTAGGATTTGTTTAAGATTTGATTAAGATTTATTTAAGGTTTAGGATTTCATTAAGATTTGGTTGGAATTGGTTTATGATTTGATTAGGATTCAATTAAATTTTTTAATTTTGATATTTTTTGAAGATTTTTTTATTATATGTATTTTTTGAAGATTAGTTTATGATTTCTTTATATTTCTTTTGTAAATTCTTGAGATTATTTTTGGCTTTAATTATAAATTGATTAACATTTTTATAATTTAATTAATTTTTTTTTAAGACTCTATTAGAGTTTATAGGATCATTTTGTTGCAAGTTCTATTTTTTTTTTTCTATAGCTAAGTATCTAGTACATTCTGAAGCCAACTTTACATAATACGATGGTAGAAAAATTAAAATTCTAAGTAAAAGTGAAAAAGCTAGAGTCAATCAAATCAAAAGACAATGTTGATAAGGAAAAATTACAACAAAATTTGATTGCATAGAGATGCAAATAGCTTTTCTAGAAGTTGTGGTGGTTTTAAAATAATGAAATGATTTTAGAGCTGATTATGGAAGAAGTACTTTTTGAGATTAAAAAAATATAATTTAAGGCAAATTCAATAAGTAGAATCTTTTTTTTACTCATAGAGGTATATTAATTGAAGAAGAAGAAGAATAGTTTGCTACTATGAAATAAGAAGATGGAACCAAAATTGACTACAATCTTCTCTTTCATCTCTTATGATTCAAAATAATGATAAAATTTTAGTATGATATGAGATATGTAACACTAAAGAATGTTTGAGTTCTTAATTCCTTTCTTTTATCCCAACCACCAAAAAATAATTATTAAGTCTTAGACAATAATCTTAATATGAGATATTATTAAGATATATATTGAGAATTGAGCTAGATTATTTCTTAACTTGATACTGCAAGCCACAACTAATATAAATAAGAATAAAATCTTATCTATCTTACCTTATTATATGTACTAAGCAAATAAATTATTCACCTTTTCAAAAAATTAAAATGCATTAGAAATAAGATAGGATGACAACTTTAAGAAGTCAATCTATTTAATTATGAAGGCAACGATAATCAATTGAAAGATAAAGAAATTTCCAAGATAAAACTAATATAAAGGATAGTATTGTTTCTAAAATAAGAAAAAAGAGACTATCCTATAGATAAAATTTAAAAAATTAGAAAAATAATCTTAATTGGATATGCTAGATGTTGCCCTAATTAAGCTATTTGATGCCTCTTAAGTAACTTTAGATTATCTTCATAATATCTACTTTGAATTTCTTAGAATATCAATCAACATAGTCACATCAATTAGAATCCTTAAAGATTTAAGTCAAATCTTAGAGTTGTTAATTAAGGAGCTAGAGATCTAGGAGAAGATAAAAACATTAAAAATACAAGTAAAGGTTCTTAAAGAAGAATTCTAACAATCCAAAAAAAACCTCTTATACCAATCATTGGATTTATTTTCAAGCTACCTTAATTATTTTATACATAGCTTAAGTTGGAGAGCTTAGTACTTTTTGTACTATTGACCTTCAGTGGATTAAAAAAATATAGCTTTGGAATCAAATTATGAGTCAACAAAAACTTGTATTAATAAATCAAATAATAAAAATTATTATCTATTTTATAAGTTGAGCAATTAAGGCACAAAAAGTCTTAAAGGAGTTGACAAAGGATGTAGTAAAAATCCTCTTCTCAACTCTATGATTTAATAAAGCAAAGGCATAGAAGGATCTAATATGGCTTTGTAAAATGTTATTATTGAAACTAGAAGAGAGTCTTGACTTAAAAAAAACTTTATCTATAGGAGAGTAAAGATATAGTATTAGATATGGAAGAAAAATAAGAGGTCTATGTCTTTACCTTGCTTTTGGATGATAATTTAATACTACTCACAATAATATCAATACAAAAAGAATTGACTTAGCAGTGTGTTAAGGATAAAAAATCTTATCCTATTCAAAGCTAAGAATTACAATTTATTCAAGGATAAGAACACTTAAATCCAAGATGGATGAATATTAGCACAAAGTATATTTTAAAAAAAATAGATTTATGTGAAGTCAAAGGAATTACTTAGAAGAATTAAAAATATAAAAAAAACAAATAAATATAGAAGGTGGATAGATTTCAATAAATGATAGATTAGTTTTAATTTAAAAATTAATATAGCTGCTAATTAATAATTATGGTTGTAACAACATCAAGTTGGAAGTTTGTAGTTTTTAATGTCATTAATTAGTGGCATAAGAGCTTATATGATTTATGCAAAAAGATGCAATATAAGTACCATGGTAGAAGACCTTGGCAAGTTTGAGTTTTATGGATATATAATTAAATAGTTATTCGACATGTAGTAGTTGTGAAGGACCAATATTGTGAATCTTTCTTTATTCATCAATTATTATTTTTTTATTTTATTTTTTTATTTTTAAAATTCAAACTTAACAAATTGTTGAATAGACATGTTTATTTTTGAGAGATGAAGGAAATGATTGCATATTCACTCTATAAAAGCAATGACATGATAGCAAAAAGTTAAAATAAACATCA